TGTCACTGTCCTGCACGCATGATGGAGAAACATCTATCATATCCTGGGCATGTATTTCCTCTTTCTCTGTTAACAGCCACACAATTTTTCTTGGGGAATTAACCTTCCCTCAAGTCCATTCATTCATTCAACAGATATATTTTGCACACTACTATGTGCCAGATTTGCATCTAAGTGCTGAGGATACAGCAGGAAACAAAACTGACAAAGAAATATCTGCTCTCAGGGAGCTAAGGGTTCAGCTCATGTGTTTCAGGCAGAGATGACTATACCCTTTATTTCAGGGGGCCAGGCACAGCCAATCAGAGTAGCAAATCCTCCTGGCCCTAGTGGCCGGTTCAAGGAAAAGCACATGACCCCCACAGAGCCAATCATGAGACTTTTGCTGGAACGATGATAAGAAGAGTGGTGCTCTCTTTTCTCTTTTTCTTGGACTAGAAGATTCAAGCCTACAGTGTTAAGGGGTCACCATGAAGAGACAACCTGCCTAAGCATGAATCTAACAAATAAGCAGAGCCAACATAAAGAGAGAAAGTGAGCAAGCCCTAAAGCCTATCTGAATCCCTGAAATAAGGCATGCCTGAAATATGACACCCCCTGGACTGCTTAGGTTAATAGGTTTATTAATTTATTTATTTTGCCTAAGCCACTTTGAGCTGGATTTTCTCTTTTTGGCAACTGAAAGAGCTTTGTTAATACACAGGGTATATCTTATGAAGCCTAAACAAAATTAGATAAGCCAGGATAACTTTAATGTGCTGCCTAACACAGCTTTTCTCAAGCCCAGTCACAAAGGCTCTAGCACAGATGCCAGTGGCATACTCTCTACATAACTCAGATTACAGCCTCATACAAACCTGTGCTGGATCTTGTAGTTAAACTTGGCTTTCCCCTCCTGCCTTCCTCTTTTCTAAGACCTCTAGCCTTTTGTCAAGGGAAAAGTTTGTCGGTGATGACAGGAAAGTCTTCTTTCTTCAATAACCTGCTGCTCTCCTGCTGCTCTTATGACATGCTTATAAAATTGGAAATTGACAAATGGGCCCAGGGTTGACAAATGGTCCCAAGGAAGTCCACTGTTTGCCCCCTTCTTGAATGAAACTTCACATATTCTTCACTTTTATTTTTCGGCTACATGATTTTATTTCCTCTGAGGAGGTAACAGCAAAAGTTCTACCCTGAGGAATGCTGCCTTTTGGACCAGACCTCAAAGCATTAGGGAAATAAAATAAACTCAGACTTTTCTTTTCCTTTTAGGAAGAAGAGGCAAAATAAAGCTGGTTTCCTGAAATTACTCACGAAAGCAAACTTTCAATGTGACAAAAGTGATAAGAACTTCTCTGGGAACAAAACAGGCAAAGATTAGTAGAAGGCAGTTTAGGTGTCACCGGCCAGGGAGATCACAGGATTAGAACCTTGGAAGTTTCTTTTTTTTTTTTTTTTTTTTCCTTTTTGTCTTTTTTCGTGTCCGGCAACGGATCGCAACCCTCAGTGTCGCGCCCGTACCGGACTGGGACCGGCAACGGGATCACAACCCTCGGTGTTGCTCCCACACCTCACTCAGCCAGTGAGCGGGAACGGTCTGTATGTGGGATCCGAACTCTCGGCAGGAGCGCCACCGTGCTCCCAAGCGGCCACTGTAGCAGTGCGCCACCAGGCCGACCCAGAACCTTGGAAGTTTCTAAACTAGGAGGGCAACTTCGCATAGCTGATTCACAGGTTCGAAGATAAAGGAGTGATTTCAACAGCTAGGCCTTACCCACCTGAGGGTTTCCCATGCCCAATTCAACTTAATTGTCTGAGGGCTCACTCTGTTCAATGTTCCAGGTGGAACCGAGGAGACTGAAGACAGTCATACCAAACATGCTTTAGCCATGCCACATGTATACATATTTTGAAACAATGTGTTCTACACGACAAATAGGAACAAATTTTATTTGTCAATTACAAAAATAAATAAGACACTTTATTTAAAGAAAGAAAATCGGATTGGGCAGTGAGAAAAGATAAGTTATCACACAAATTCACAACGACTGAAAGAGGCAGAGGGTCTTAACGAGAACACGGTATTAGGAATGAGGAGAGAGGCTCAGGGAAGGATTCGCACAAAAGAAAGAGCTGAGCTGGGTCTGGAAGGGTAGGGAGGAACCCACCAGGGGACAAGGAGGAAAAAGGCACTTAAGATGGAGGAAAGCCTAGCACTCCAACATCATACCCGGCAGATGGGATGACTGGTTATTTAGGAAACACAAAGCAGAATTTGTGCATTCAAATAAGAATTAAAACTTCCAAAGTAGTCACTTGGGGAAATTACTCCAAGGTTATTTTCTCTGCTCAATTTCTACACAGTTTTCATTCTTTAGAAGAGCCTCAATATCTTCTGAAGATTAATTTTTTTTTTTTTTTTCTAAATAGAGCTCTAGACTTTTATGGCCAAGTCTGATGAATATGGTCAATGATAAAGCTTGGGAATACTGGTTTAGGTGAAAAAAAAGTAGGGGAGCTATAAAGTAACGTCACATATTTTCTTGAGTAACTGACAAACGGGCCTCAAGTCAATTCCAAAAGGGAAAACACATTAAATAATAGCAAAATCCTTGAAATAGGTTAATTACTTGACTATATCATGGGCTAAGACCAGCTCAGAAGGAACTCCTTGGGCTGAATCTTGAAGGGTCAACAAAAATTTTAGAGACAGATGATAGTATAAATTCTGGTATGTTTGTTTTTTAAAAGGGTCCCTGTAGTCACAGCTCTCAAGAGTTAGAAAAAGGGATTAAAGGCATCCCTTATTCCATTTAGTGGTCCAAACCCTCCCTCACTAGTTGCCATTTGAATTTTCAAGTAAAAAAAGTGGCAGGAATAAGATACTCCACTGAACTAAGAATATGCTTTCCTTTTAAAATGTGCTAAATGTTTTACCAATGCATAAGAGTAGTAACTGTTATTTTAAAACCATGCTGGATAACTATTTCAGTATCTCTTATATAACTACCAAGAAATAAAGCAGTTTGAGTACCAGCAGAATAAACATCAGCATAAAAAAAACATAGCAACAATAAGAAATTTCTAGAAGTTATTTAATTAGTTCACCTCCATTTAGAGGAAAACACATCATTTTATATATTTGCCAGCTTTATTTTAATGTTTCAAAACTGAGTCTATCTTGCAACATAATATAAAATTTTAAAAGAAAAGAATACCTAACATTTAAAATGTATTTTTAAAAGGACGAAGAAATCAAACAACCTGAATTTGGATATTCAGTCTCCTAACCATTTCTTGGTACTTTTAATACAATGCATACTATCATTTTGCATGGTAAAATTTCTTAATTTTATAAATGTTTTTTTTTTTTTCCTTTTTGTCTTTTTTTGTGTCCGGCAACGGATCGCAACCCTCAGTGTCGTGCCCGTACCGGACTGGGACCGGCAACGGGATTGCAACCCTCGGTGCCGCGCCCACACCTCACTCAGCCAGTGAGCGGGAACGGGTCTGTATGTGGGATCTGAACCCTCAGCGGGAGCGCTGCCGCGCTCTCAAGCGGCGCACTGTAGCAGTGCGCCACCAGGCCGGCCCTCTAAATGTTTTCATACCATGTATTCTCTTCCACAGCTTATTTTTCCACTCAGACTTTTAGTTGTGAGATTCATCTACACTGATATATGGGATTCTGATTTACTTATTTTTATGATTGTTATGAGGTTCATTGTATGAAAAGTCACAGTGGATTTATTGATCTGGTCACCAGACTTTTTAGGTAGGTAGGTAGGTACGTATGTAAGCAAGTAAAGTAGGTAAAGTTAAATAAATAAATGAACACATGTATTTGTCTTCATTTTCCAAAATTAATATACCTCATATATACATACATTAGGTAAGCAAGTAAAGTAAGTAAAGTTAAATAAATAAATGAACACATGTATTTGTCTTCATTTTCCAAAATTAATATACCTATTCAAATATGTATTTACAAAGAATATCTACCCCCTCTCCAAATTATCATAGTATAATTAGATGGCCTCTAAGAATCAGCTCTAAGCTTCTGATTTTCCTTGTAAACTTAGGTTTGTCATATTGTTTTTGGCTTTTTTTTTTTTTTATGAAGAGAATATTTCTTGCTACTCATTTACCTGTACTGAGTTTAGTGTTTATTTTATTACGTTTTACTTTAGTTATTTGTCAAACATGTAAAGTGTTGTATAAAGGAGAAAAGGGCTTACATATATTTAATAAAAATAAGTTTCATTTTAGAATTTAGTGAGATTAATATCTATTTGTTCATGGTTTAAATCTATTTATTTTAAAAAAAAAACTCAGAACTCATTGAGTAGCATGTGTCCTAAAGATATGGAATCCACCCAGATCTCTCTGCCACTTGCAGTTCTATACTATGTTTAAATTGAAATGTTACTGCAATTGCTTTTTCCTTATTATATGACTATGAGGCTAGGAATTAAATCCCACACCATGTTGTGTGCAGACTAGCATCTATCATGAGACAAAACAGGGGACATATAATAAAATTAAGGTAGTTTTCCTCAGGCCTGAAATTAATCAGCATTAGACCCAAGGAGAACACTGAATTGGGGAGCTCTATTCTAGACAAATCCAACAATATTAGGTGCTGTTTAAGAGGCTCAACAGCAACACCTGCTCCTCTGTTTACATTTCAACAGTTCAACAGTTCAACAGTTTACATGGTAAAATTTGACAGAGTTTTAGTTTCCTGTCAGTCCACTAAAATATTTTTACATTATGATAAAATAGTTTATAAGCACTCATGCAATTATTACACAAACGTGGTTAAGTCCAGTTCATTCTTCTACCTTATTTTAAAGATTCCCCTTCCTATTACATCAGCAAAGAACAATGAAAACCGAAAACACGTTATTTTAACAAATCATAAGTTTAACATTAAAACAATTATCTATCATATACTTTTTTAAAGTTTTAATATTCAACTGCTTCTCTTTATTGAAATATATGAAAACGTATCTGACCTGGAAGTACTTCTGACATGGATCACTGGACGTCGGCAGTGGTGCAGGAAATAGGTTATAATTTGAAATCTAAAAAAAAGGGATCATTTAAGAAATTAACACCCCAAAGAACAAAGCATAAAAGGAAAAAAGCATAGCAGTGAAAATCCCTCCAAAAGCTGTTAAAAATACTAAACATTTTGGCAGATAATGTCCAAATTTTTGTTTATTTAGAGTTGGTCATCCCACTTTTGACTGAAATTTGAGTTCCTGCGTCACCACATTTTCCATAGACATTTATTGAGGTTTTTTTTCCATGCCAGGCCTAAGCTTTCTAGCTGTTTGTCTCAAGTTTCCAGTGCTTTTTCTCATTAAACACACACACAATTTAGAAGCCACTAAGAAAAAAATTGGTATTTTTTGCCACATAAAAATTAAAACATTCTGTTTAGAAAAAAATGGCTATAAACACAATAAAGACAAAAAACAAACTATAACAAATTACCACCACGATGACATAAAAGGGCTATTTTCCTGTATATAGAAATACCTCCTTGAAATCATTAAGAAAAATATGAACGAGGCTGTAGGAAAACGGGCAGAGGATAGGAACAAATGCTAGGAGAAACACAAATGTCTAATAAACATAAATAACTAACCTCATGCAAAACTAAAGAAAATGCAAATTTAAATAACAATGACTAACTGGTTTTCCTATATCAGATGGCAAAGATAAGCAAAATTGATATCACATAATCTTTATTTTATTTTATTTTTTTCTTGGGATATCACATAATCTAAATCAAGGACACTGGAAATAGGAATTTTCAAATCTTGCTGGTGGGAGTAAAAACTGGCAAAACTCTCTGGAGGGCCATTTACAAATATCTAAGCAAATTTAAAATACAAGGACCCACTGCTAGGCAAATCCACTTCTAAGACTTTATTTTACACATATATTCACTTGGATTCTATTGCTCTAAAACTGAAAGACCAGCAAGGACCTAACTGTCTTCAATGGAGAGCTCGTTCATTAAATTATGATACATCATGCAATGGAATACTGTGCTGCCATTAGCAAAAACAAAGTAGACCTGCATGAGCTGATATGAAAAGGGCTTTAAGATGTATCACTGAGAGGTTAATAATATGCATAGCATAGCATGATCTAATTTGAGTAAAATTTTTAAATGCATAAACATGTATATGTGTGCACACACAGGTGCAGATACTTGCATTTACACAAAAAAATTCTTAAAGGAATAATAAAGATCTAGAAACAGTACCAAGTTGCCAGTTTACCAAACTAGACACATAATAAAGAAAATTGAAAACAGACCTATTTTGCAATGAGCTGCTATCAGGAATGTCACTTAGAATGATAATCTATTATGTTAAGTCAAGTGCAGATACTGCATGATTCCAGTTATATAAAGTACAAAAACAGGAAACACTTATCTATGCGGGGTAAAACAGGATGGGGGAGTGGATGGGGAAGAAGCAAGAGGGCAGCTTCTGGAATGGTGTTAATGGTAATGTGCTGTTTCTTGATCTGGATGTGAAAATTCATCAAGCTGTACCCTTAACGTGCACATTTCTGTGTGCACATCACACTTTCGTGAATAGTTAAAATAAAAGTTAAATTCTAGAGGTTCTAAAGCATAATTCAAATTGAGAAACTTTATATTTGCAAGACTAAATTGTAATCTAACCTTTCCAAACTAGCAACCTTTTAAGCATTACTTCCAACTTTATGATTCAGATAATGACCTGACAACCTGGTCTACGGCCCACCATACATTCTTAACTATATTTTCACATACTGTGGATAAGGCTCATTACTCCAGTGTAATTTAAGGGTGGGTTTACTTCAAACTGTCTGAAAACAGCAAGAGATGCTGCCCCTATGTTCCTTTGTCTATACCCTATATCTTCCTCAGCTCTTTAACCATATGTGACAATTCGGTTTTCCTTTTCTAAAAAAAGTTTTTTGGCTTCGGTGCACCTTAAGTTATATGCAGGGACAGAGATAAGGTGATAGGTATTTTGAGAAAATGAATACCAGTAAAATAGAGAGAAAGCCAAGAAAACATATACTTACATGAATATTCTGAAAATGATTGAACAAAAACTAAGAATCTACATACTTTTTAGTGTACACAAACTTCAAAATAAAATGTTCCTGTTTCCCTGACCTGAGACCAACATCAACTTCAATAAAGTTAAGAACTGGACATTCTGCTAATCACTTCATACTGTAAACAGCCCTGTGCTATTATCTGATCAAGATTTATTCCACACGTGCCACATGCCCTGCATTACGCTAGGCACAGGGGATACTTTAGTGGACAGAAACGCATTTTCCCCTCTCATGAAACTTATAGCCTAATCAGGGAGATGGAATCATGAAATTACTCAAATCAGTATATAAGTATATATGTTCTGGAGGGAAAGAACTCAGTTGCATGAGAAAATATAACAAGGAACATGTGCCAGACTGGAGAGCCAGCAAATGCTTCCCTGAGAAAGTGAAATTTAAGTTGCAATTTTTTTTTTTTTGTCTTTTTCGTGACCGGTAAGTGGATTGCAACCCTTGGTGTGGGGTCGCCCACACCGCGCTCAGCCAGTGAGTGCACCAGCCAGTCTTATATAGGATCCGAACCCGCCGCAGGAGCGTCGCTGCGCTCCCAGCGCTGCACTCTCCCGAGTGCGCCACGGGGCCGGCCCTTAAGTTGCAATTTGAGGACTAAATAGGATTTAGGTAGGTAAACACTTATTAAACACCTACTATGTGCAAGGCATTTTTGGCCCTGGGGGTGAAGCACAAATATTCCAAGCTATTTTTCTCTAGGTACTTACAACCTTGATAAATGAATCCAATCTAGTAAAACGGTTTCTGAGAAGACTTAGTGACATGGACTAATTCTATACAAACAATAACCAGAGAAGATATAAAAGCAGCACTTAGAAAATGGGAAAACACTATATAAATGTATGGTTCAAAGAATAATCTATAGCTGTGCTATCCAATATGATAGCTACTAGTAGCAACATGGTGCTACTGAACACTTAAAAGGTGACTAGCACAACTGAGGAAGTAAATTTTTAATTTTATTTAACTATAAATATTTTAATTATAAATTTATAAACTGGTACTTGACTCATTGGAAAACATTTAAGTAAGTTTGGAACTTTTTGAGTAGGTGAGACTACTTTTTCAACTCTAAATTTTATGTACTCTAAATACAGATCAAGTACTTCCAATGAATATTTTAATCCTAGTTAAGTGCTAAGAGTGTAAAATGCACACTGATTTTGAAGACTTAGCATGGAAAGAAATGTAAAACATCTCATTAATAATTCTAAAATATTGATTACACATTGAAATAATATTTTAGATATATTGAGTTAAATAAAACAGATTGTTAAAATTAGTTTCACATTTTTTAAAATGTGGTACTAGAAAATTTCAAATTACATATGTGGCTTGTATTATATCTCTATTGGAGGAGCACTGATCTAGGAAATTAAAATATTATCCTACCTTTCCCATCAAAGAACAGACTGGCACCAATGTTACTCAGCTGTAATGCTAGAGATTTTGCCAGTATTCAGAGCAAGTACCCTTTATTCCATAAGAATCACAATCTGAGTTCAAAGATGCCAGGGACTAATGGCAGGCTCTTAAAAATTCTGCATTAAGAATACAGTAGTGATTTTAAGGCAAAACATAAAACTACCTAAGTGAAACAGTCTAGCAACAACAGTTTTCATGTGTCCCATTAATGAAAATCCATAGTGCTGATAAGGCTTGTGATAATGTTATTAGGGCTCAACAAATGTCCAATAGGACCACAGACAGAGCCCATAACTAGAAATTAGGAAAGCACTATTAAACAAATAATTATATAAATAAATAAATAAAACACCTACTTGTATTTTGGTTCAATATAAGATACTATGTATTTCTAAATGATTCCAAAGAGGAATGAAAAATTTAATCTAAAATTGGACAGAGAATTCCACTTTACCTGTCTTTCTCAAATTCAGTCAAGTCTGAAAAATTCTTCCCTCTCAGTTTACCTCATCTTTGTCCTGCCCACTCTCTCCTTAGACATTTCCTTCTGCACAGGGTTCCACAGTCCTCTCTCAGCCTCCAGTCTAATCCCCTCCCACACCTATACCCAGATGTATCCCACATCCACAATGCCAGATAAACACTGTTCTGTTTACAATCACTCCCTTATCCAAAAACCTCCACAATTAGGTTCTTTCAACCATTGACATCTAAAACCCAACTGATTCTAGAAACTGTCATTTACTCAAATCCTATACCACCTTCAAGTAGCTACTCTTTTGGCAGCTCTAATCCAGTGCAATCCTATCAGACCCCACACCACCTTTCTGTAACAAATAGCTTACAATGACCCCTTTACTATCTTGAAGTGAAATTCACAGATAATATAATCTATCTACACACATAAATTCCAGAAAAGGAGAATTAAAATGAGGGATACATTTCAATAAGCAAATTCTCAGGCATGAGTCCATTAGCAGTCACAACGAACAATCATCAGATGCTTGCCTACGTGAAGAATCACTGTTAGTGCAACAGCTACAAATGCAAACTGACAGAGGCGTGTGTTGTATTGACAACATCAATTTCAAACGCTAAGCAACTCTTAGAAAATTCCAAAAAATATTAAATATGATTATCTTTGTCTTAGAAGAAGTTTTCATTTCTGGCATATACATTGTACACTAAAACCATTAAAAAAAACTTTACATTTAGAACTTCTAGGCTCAGATAATTATAAACATGTTGTTCACCTACGTGAATATTTGGTAGGGTATTTTTATAGCTTTTCAGAATAAGACATTCTTTGTTATAGTGCTGGGTACTACAAGACATTTATCATCCATAGTTCCCACCCAAAAAATGCTAGTGGTGGGCCCCCTTTCACAGTCTCTAAGGGGTGTTCTAATCACCCCCCAAACTCCCAACTTTGAAAATTACGACTTCATCCCAGAGTTGCCTTTTGATCTTCTTAACTCATTCAACACTTAGGTCCTATACAATCCTTGAACCA